TCACATTGGGTCCTCAACACATCTCTGTATAGTATGTGTATTCACTCTCTGTTCCGAAAACGGCTTGTTGGAGCTTCCTGCCCCTCCCTATGAGTCCACTGTGCTCTGATTGGTCAGCTCGCCTACTCTGTTCTGATGAGTCCACCACCGTTACAGCGGAACATCAGAGATTATGTGTTACAATGGCGTTAGCAACCAGAAAAGGACACCAGTAATGACAAACAGATGAGAATGCTGCGTGGGGTCTGGGTGCCGTGTTGGCGGGATGTTGCGGGGCTCGCTGCTCTGCCCTTTGAGGCTTGAGGAGCGGACAGTGTGAGCTGGATTACTGGTGTTGTTTCCTGGTTGCTACGTGGGATCTGCGAGACAGCAAGACACCGCGGAACTCAGCCTGAGCACACACACACACACACTCACACTCACACTCACACTCACACTCACACTCACACTCACACACTCACACATACTCACACATACTCACAGCCAGGCTGTTCACCACACACTCACAGCCTGAGAAAAGATAAGGCTGAGTGAGTGAGTGTGTGGGTCTGAGGAGCTCCACGGATTGGTCCATTTGGACCAATTGGTCATTTTGGTCGTCGTTACATCACTGTGACCAGGAAGAAAAAAATGGAAAAAGAGGCGTTCTGGGGCAGCATAGACAGGTATTTTCTGTGTTAGAGTTTTACTCGCTTCAGGGTGTACTTTGAGGGTGTGTGACTCTGCAGACCGTTTACATGCATAAAAAGCTACATAACACACAAGGGGACGGGTAATAACCAGAAAAGCATGACATGGGACCTTTTAATGTACATAAAACTTCACTTATAAAATGTATGGTGAGGTAATAATAAAATCAAAGCTTTCAGTGCCAAGTTTTGGAAATTGAGAGGTTTTTCTTACACGTCTTGGGAATTACTTCGTTGTTTTACTTAGTTTTGTTTTTTTTAACAATATTTGTATTGAAGTTTTGAAATATAGCAAACATTACACATACATAAAACGGTGAGTCTAGGTGGCAGATACAGTGTACAAATGAATAGGCATGTAAATAAACACAGGTCAGTAGACAGATGATGGATGTACATGGATAACAAAGTACAGAAATCTGAAAGAATATGACGTGGGCTACTACACTTTATAATCGTATTGGTCATTACTTAGTTATTGTTATTTTGGAACGATACCCAGCCTTATACACCTGTCCCCATAGCAGCTAATTAAGTGTGAACACTTTAGCTACATTCACGAGGAGCCATGTGTATGTTATCCTATAGATTATAAGACGGACATCTTTGACTTTTATTAGTTTATTTGTAATAATGATTACGCCATCACTGTCCTACAGGAGGTTGAGTTGGAGATGGAGGCGGAGCCGGTTCAAGCTGACAAGGCGGAGACACTGAGGGACACGGCGCCGGTCATAGAACCAGTCAAGGTAACGTCTCCCAACATACCGTCCGTGAGATCTGTAAAACATTTTGAACGGCTTGCAGGCTTTCAATTTTGTTTGCACTAAGATGAGATTCGGATATGGAGATTTCTTGGTTCTACATACATTTCTATGTACCATTCTAAAGAAAACAAACTCTCTGAAACTGTGCTTAGCATATCAGATATTTCACAACATTGTATATGTATTTGCATTTAAATGAATGAATGTATCATGTTTAATACCAACCTAACTTTGATCATTTGTGAGGACCCAGTTTCTGTTTGTTATTTACTGATTATTACGCAGACTGTATGTTATTTGTCTCTGACCTGTTGCCACTCTTTCACCGGCGTCTTCTGTACCACACAGTACGAACAGTGGCAGACATTCCTACGCTACCAGGTTAGGTTTAATGATGTCTCCTCCCAAGTGCCCTTCCTCACATCTATACCAGTTTATCCCTGCACTCACAGTCTCTGGTCTCTTTCTGAGCGGACCCAGATGTGGGTTGAACAGTTTTTGCAAACAATTCTGGCATTTTCCAAAACGATTTCAGCCTGCAATGTTACCTCAGGTTCAGAATGAGTAAGAACATCATCCAAATTACTGGAAATTACACGTTAAATATACGACATCAGTAAAGTGAGGGTAAACCAGAAATGCTCATATTTAGCTCTGCTGGGATAGAAAGCAGACAAGGTAAATGAAAGCAAAATGAACAGATAGATCACAGACTGACTCAAAATAATATTGTTTGACTAGAATTTGATATTTTTTCCATTTGAAGCCTAAACAGAGAATACTTTCTAGTGTGCACAAACCATGGCAGTCATGGACAAAATGAACCAATATTCCCTGAATTATTATATAAAAACACCAAACATCTGGTGCTGTGAATGCTAAATGCTGATTTGCAAATTCTGTTTGACCCACATCTTCAATATAAGGACTTCTCCTTCACTTTTGCTTGTTGATCCTTCCAGACAGTATCACTGACCCATGTTGAACCTTTCCCCTCTCACTAACGTCTTGTGTAGCTCCACAGTTCTCTCCATCATGTGGTAATGGCTTTTTGGGTTAAGGGGAGTATCCCAGTGTCCCCTATAACTTCCCTCTTTACCCATTTGGTGTGTTTGGATGAGTCTTTTATGTGGTTTTATATGAAAGGCACATGTGTTACTGGTTATATGACATTTTGGACCTACTTTGTATCCACTTTGGAGGGAAAATACAACTTTAAGATGCCATGTTTATCCCTTCTGTAACTAAAAGTTGTCTATGATTTCACAACTGGGACCTATCATTTCTGACAGTTAGGAGCACATTTCTAAAATCCTTTGTTTGTGTTTCAGGGTGAGGAGATCACCAAAGAGGAGATCGACATGTTGAGTGACGCATGCTGTAAGCTGAAGGGCCAGAAGAGGCTGCTGACTCTGGAGAAAGAGGAACTCGAAGACCTGAAGGACGACGTCCAGGAATACAACGAGGTGCCGCTATTTGACTCGTAGTTATTGCAGAGAGAAAATGTTCCATCAACCGAATCCAAATCGGGTTGTTTCTTTGTATTTGGTGAAATGTAATCGTTGCATCAAAATGATATACATTAAAACTATTATACATCAAATTACAATCAACATATCAAAAGGAAAAATAGAAGAAAAATAAACAGAAATATCATTAATCCTCATACAAACGTTAATTTTCACATAAAGGGGTTTTTCAAATCCTTCATCAAAGATATAGAGTGCCGCAGTGACGCGTCCTAAAACCCGGAAGTAAGCTGCGGATGGGTTCCTTCGACAAAAAAGCAATGCAATTTCTCCATAGGGTTTTGGAAAATAGCCCGAAATAAGGTCTGTGGTTGACACGCATTTAAGAGACCAGTCGGATAATCTCCACATGTCTACCCTACTTCTAATCTTAAGCGTCTTTGAGTTGTGAAAAGCGCTATATAAATCAAATGCATTATTATTATTATTATTATTAATCTAATCGATAGATTNAAACCTTTGTCGGGCGAAAAATACTGCCTGGTGTTAACGCCGACCTAATAAGAAGAGTATTTCATTGTCCCCGTGGGAGGATTCATGTTTCCACGTATAAATGTCAGATTCAGATTGAAGTGATGGAGGTTTTATTCTTTCTCTTCCAGCACTGCTGCGGACATCACTAAGACGATCCAGTTATAGCATTAATTCAGAAGGAACATGCTTGTGGTTTTTAATGGAGATATTCTCACGCTCAGATCCTCTTAGGGAGCCGGTCTCAGTCTGTTTACTGAGAATTGTTGGGGAACCTTTTTCAGGGAATGGAAAGGATTTAAATGAAGTTTACCAGGGCTGCGACTGATACTGGGGGAGCCAGAGATGCGCAAAAGTAACCACACATCCCTTAGTCAAGGTAGCACCAGTGAGGCCAGGCTCAGTGTTAAATTCCAATCCAGGACAGTTAAGCGCATATCAATGCATGGCTACATGAGAAGGAACAGTCCTTCGCCCTCAAACGGGCGAGCTTTTGTAGGCTAACAGGGAATATTACAATTTGTGACCATTTATGATGTCAGATAACCTACTGGACACCTACCTGTCTGCCCTGCCCATCAACACACACACACACACACACACACACACACACACACACACACACCACACACACACACACACACCAGATGTCAAAAGTACTACACCTTTCTCAGGTAGAAGTACAGATACTCGTGTTTAAAACTACTGCTTTCTGGTGAAAGTAGAAGTACTGACTAAAGCTTCTTTACTCAGTCAAAGGTAAACGGAGGCCTTGAAATGTACTTCAGTAAAAAGTACCATAACTTAGCCCCAGCCCTGCTTTTTTAAAGCAGTACCTGACCACTCGCCTTTTATATTTAATTAGAACAAATAAATGCATTGGTTAGCCTAATGAATGTTTTCCATGCTGAACAACGGCAACATGACAACGTTCTTCATTGGCCGCCTCTTTCTTTAGAAGAAGAGCAGAGGAACCATGATGATACACGCGCATCGGTGTTTCAAACAATTAGGCACGCCAATGACTCTAACTAATAACGATCACGCCACCAAACAACACATTCAGACTAAAGGAAACCAGGTCCTGCTTTGGGAAATGAGAGAAGCTAGAAAGTACAGGTATTTTGGCCGCTGTCAACATGTAAGAAGGTGGAAAGTACAGTCCTAGTATTTGAGTTCAACATGTTAAGAATTGTTAGAAAGTACAGGTATTTGTGTTTCAACATGTAAGAAGTAGAAAGCTACAGGTATTTTGTGTTCAACATGTAAGAAGGTAGAAAGTACAGGTATTTGTGTTCAAAAATGTAAGAAGTCCAAAGCTAAAATGTTGTCAGGAAAAATAAGTAGTGGAGTAAAGTGCTGATAGCAGAAACTGTACTTAAGTACAGTAACAAAGTATTTGTACCTCCCACTTACTCCCACCTTCTGATGAGCAGCCTTCAGAAAACTTTTGGTAATCCTTCTGACTTTTCCCCCATCCAGGCGGCCATCTTCCAGGGTCAACATGTTAATGTGTTTTCGGTTTCAATGAACCAATCAGCGAGCCTTCCGTCGTGAGTAAAAGGCTTGCTGCCTCAACATTGGCTGCCTTTTCCTGTTGTTTTTATAATCTGAAACCATGAACCTCTTTTCCCAGCTAAAACAATGTGACTGTAAAGAGACACGATCGAGTCCATAGGAGACACCATATGAGGCGTCCATAGAGACACGATGAGTCCATAGAGACACGATGAGTCCATAGAGACACAATGAGTTAATAGAGACACACAATGACAACACAGAGACACAAAAGACACCAAAGACAAACAAAATGAGAGACACACACTTCCTTGTTGAAATAAGAAATGTGAAGCAGCTCTTTGGAAGTGTTCCCCTTGTTGTTGTTCCCCAGCTGTGAGTCAGCGCTGCAGTAAAACATTTACGACCTTATAAACTCTTAACGATGTTATAAAGTTCAATCTGCCAGAACCATTCACACTCATTTCACTTTACTATCACTCTACAAACAGCGGGTAATCCAGACTATAAAACCTCCCGCACTTAAATACTGTCTGATATTTACAGCCGAACGCCCTGAAGGTGAAACCTAATGATTTGTTTAAATGTGTCCAAAAGTCTGTCGTCAAACGTCTCGTTCTGTCTTTGTCCTGGTTTGACACCGTGATATAAAGAGAGAACGCAGGAAGTTTCCTCCCGCTGAAGCAGCCAATCAGATCGCTGTAGTGGTTTTGGCTGTGTATGTGACGCTGTTCTTCGAAGTGAAGCATTGTGGAGTTTGAAGTTTTTTCGGGGAGATATTTTCATATTTGAGTTTCCTACCTTTTATTAAATCAAATGACTATTTATGTCTGACACTGCATTGTAGTTATTTATTTATGTGGTTATTATTTCTGTTGATTTATTTGTTTATTTATTTAGTTATTATTATTATTATTTGTTAATTTGTTTGTTTAGATTTCTATTTATTTATCTATTTATCTAAGCTTGTTTTTTTGGGGGGGCGCAGCGCTATTGCAGGGGGGGGGGCGAGTGAAGCTTTGGAAGAAGTTGTAAACAAAGATTGTTTGCTCGTAAAATCCATAACATTTACCCATTTTTAACACAAACGGCAGTTAAAAGAAAAGTGGACGAGCCCACGACAAGCCTTTCAGCTATAATGCCCAAATCAACAAAGTAAGATGAGGAATATACCTCCTTTGACATCTAACGCAGCGTCCAATCGGCAGCGTGCGTTGACGCTTGCCGGTGGGCGTGTCTGGCACGCAACCAACAACCAATCACATTAATCTCCCGCCCCGGACACACAAGCACGCGGTTTGATTGGCTGACGCTTGCACTGCCATATGATTTGATTGGCTGACGCTTCCGTCAAAGCTTTCGAAGCGAGCAATGGAGGCAAAGCGACGCGACGGAACCACAATGCAGTTCGGCAAAGTGTGACGTCACCCCATTCAAAGTGAATGGGAAGCGTCTCCGTTGAAGCAACGCACGCTGCCGTGTGGAGAACAGAACGTTCAAAAGTGACAATCTAATCTACAGAGCTCGATGTGTACAATGCTCGTTTGCCATAAGTATTTTTGCGGAAACACGAGCAATCTGTCCATCAGCTGGCCGAAAGGCATCATATTCATACGGAGAAATGCACCGTTTTCCACTTCCTTAACTCGGAGTTCTGTTGCTCCAATTACGTGTAAGGGGGGCGCCGGTGGTGGCGAAGTCTCATAGGGACTTGGATTGCGCAACTGGAAGGTCACCAGTTCACAGTCCCGGCAAGACCAAGTGCCCTACCGAGGTATTCCCTGAGCAAGCACCGTTCCCTTACACTGCTCCCGGGCGCCGTTCATTGATGGGCAGGCCACTGGCTCCTAAACACTAGGCATGGGTCAAATGCCAGAGGGAACCCATGTCGCTTACATACATACCTTGTTACTACGTAACGGACAATGAAAGTGCAAAAAGAAAAGAAAAAAAGAACTAGATCAAGGACTTATGGACTTTAAGTAAAAGTAGTATACTGCAGGGTAGCCCTTTGTTGGATTTACTCCAGGCTGGCAACTAAAGGTCTGATTTAACACTGATTAGATTTCACATCATCATCCACGATCTGAGAAGGCGGTAAACTAAAGGTATTAAAACATGTAGTGGAGTAAGAAGTGACACCATGTACCCTCTGAACTGTAGAGGGGTAGAATTACAAAGAAGCAAAAGCTGCGAAATACTCAAGCAAACCTCAATATAAGTACCGTAGTCGGGAACTAAAGTCTTACTTAGTTAACTATCACCACTGCCAGCCGGTCGTTATGCTCTTGCTAGCAGCCCATAATCCACACTCATACATAAGAAAATGACATCATGCTAAATTCTGGTTTCTAATTTGGGGGATTTTAGTTTTTCCCCTAAAAAAATAACTCTAAAATACTGTTAAAGAACCGGATCGATTAGGGCCTCATTGTTTCACGCAGTGGCACAGGGATCATCTGCCGAATACAAGCACTTTAGTTCCATGTTCGATCCATAATAAAATATACAATTATGAGTTGGATTATTTTTGTCTGTTTTGTCGTTAGTTATTTAGCCAGGAAGAATGTAATGGTTTGACCAACTACATACAATTGAATTATACCATTCTGGGTGGCGAACCGGATTAGGGGCCTGCTTGGAGAAAGGTTGGGGAACCACTGTTTTAGGAGAGTGCTGTTACATTTTTTAGTATTTTGTATATCATTTTTGCCTTCCTTGTTGCGACCTCTTTTCTAAAACTGCACAGCTCTGTCCGACATTAAACTCTGGAGGACACAGTATATATAATAGATATATATATATATGATACATACTAGCTATATACTAGTAGTATAATAGTATATATAATATATCTGTTGGTATATTTATATTTCTTGGCAAACATTTATTTTAAATTGTTTGATTTTATGTCACAATGTAAACATTAATATTTGAGGGGAAAATCACCGTGTTGCGTCGGGTCACACACTGAAGTGAAGCTTCTCGCCGCCAGCTCGGCGCGGCGCGCGCCGCCGCCAGAAGGCCAGCTGCGACTCCGAGCAGCTACACACACAACACCCACACACACACACACACAACACACACACACACACACACACACAAAACACACACAACACACACACACACACACACACACACACCACACCAAACACACACACACACACACACCACACACACACACACACACACACACACACAGCAAAAGTCATGATGCTGTCGAAAAAATATTTTTAGAAACATCCGGGTATTAATAGTGCTTTTCCAATAAATATAAAAAGGCGGTTAGGTTTAATATGGGGTAAAAAAATAGGGAAAACCAAAGCGTGTGTGCCTAAGATATCAAAAATCTTATTCATTGCATAGTTTAGGTTCGCAAAAAAAGTATTTAAAAAAATCATAGGTATTAGTATGTG